TTCATTCCGCAATAGATAGATAGATAGATGTAAGGCAATGTCTTAGTAGTACTGCATATTCTGGTGGAATGTTATTTTCATCTAGTTTCCTAGTTATAATTGAGATGCAGTCTTCAACAGGTAGGCATGTAAATAGAGACTGAACGTCAAAACTGACCATGGATTCATTGTCAGCAAGACGTAGGTCTTTTATCTCACTGACAAACTTACGCAACACTTACGCAACAGACCAGAGCTTACGATTCTCCGCGCAGATAAAGGAAATGCTACGGTTGTAATGGATACGTCGAATTACAATTTTAAAATACAACAACTTATGTCGGATGAAAGTACATATCGTAAGGTCAAAACAGACCCTACAACTAATACGCTTAAAACAACTAGCGATCTAATTAAGAAATACTCCGAGAAATTGAATCTAGACGTCAATTCGATGATACCTTCGTGTGCAAAACCTCCCAAGTTGTATGGGTTACCAAAAATACACAAACCTAACGCTCCATTACGTCCAATAGTGAGTCAAATCGATTCGCCAACGTACAGATTGGCTCAACACTTGCCAAAATATTATCACCACTCAGAGGACACACAAGAGCACATACTAAGGATTCATACACTCACCGGCACGGAAACTTGGCCAAGCGGTTATCTCGCGATAGCAAAAGCTTTAAGTGTTTCTGATGAATGTTTGTTATGCAAGTATGTCAAAAAATGTTTACCCTCAAGTTCAAGAGGGTAATTCATTATGTTTAAGTGCACCATGACGAATTCTTTAATTTTTAGTTGAATCGGGTCATTTGAGCGACTAGGTTCACATTTTATATTTGTGTGTTGTGAAAAGTTTACTGTAAGGTTATTCAATTATTGTGATCTTGTGTCTTAATTAAATAACTAAAGGTGCTTTAAAGCCAATAAAAATGCCATTAACACCAGCACAAGTTGCACAAGCAGTAGCATTAATTGACCAAGGGCTGACACAGCGTGAAGTTGCTATTGTGCTTAACGTACCACGGTCCTCAATGCAGTATTCACTGAAACGATACCAGGAGACAGGCCGCTACACCCGCAGGCCAGGCAGTGGGGGCGTAAGGTGCACATCGGCCCGGGACGATCGTTTTATTGTTATGGAGATTTTGAGAAACCGCTACCTGACCGCTGTTGAGATACGCCAGCGGCTCCAAATCGCAAGAGGCGTTAATGTTAGTGAGCGTACGGTGAGAAGACGAATGGAGGAAGTGAATTTAAAAGCTCGTAGACCAGCACGAGGTGCAGAACTTCTCAGACAGCACCGAGTAGCCCGACTTCAGTTCGCAAGAGAACATGTCAATTGGACCCACGAGCAATGGGCTAGAGTGTTGTTCACAGATGAGTGTCGAATAGCTTTACGTGCTCCAGACGGTCGAGAACGAGTGTGGAGAAAAAGAGGAGAGAGGTTTCTACCCATTACCACCACCCAAACTGTGAGTTTCCATGGAGGCTCAATAATGGTATGGGGAGGTGTAAGTTCCGACGCACGTACAGAGTTGGTCATCGTCGATAATCGGCTTACAGCTACTCGATACATCGAGGAAGTTCTTCAGGAGCACGTAATGCCTTATTCGGGATTCATTGGACACGACCAATTCCTCCTCATGCACGATAATGCACGCCCGCACGTCGCACATTGTGTAGAGGAATATCTGGAAGAGGTTGGAATACAAAAATTACAGTGGCCAGCTCGTAGCCCGGACTTAAATCCAATTGAGCATGTATGGGGTATGCTCAAAAGAAAGATAAAGTCCAGCTCCAAACCGCCACAAACTCTAAATGAGCTCCGAAATGCAGCGCTGGCCGCTTGGGACAGCATACCGCAAGTTGATGTCAGAAACATCATTCAAAGCATGCCAGATCGAATGCAAGCGGTTATCAGGGCTAGAGGAGGAAACACCCGATATTAAAACTGATAGACAATAAAGAAACAGACTTAATTTTTAACTTTGTAGTGTTTTTAAAGTGACAATGGAAAGATGTTAATTTTAGTGAAAACATGTTATCTTGAAAAGAAAAATTTCGGTGAAGTAAACATTAAATTTCTATGTTCTAAAACCATTAGAGACACTTATTGAATGCATCTACCCTTAATTTACTGTTAAAAAAACGTTTCAGTGCAAATAATCAGCAAATTCACGAGTGGCCAAGTTTCCGTGCCGGTGAGTGTACCATTTTGTCAGTGAGATAAAAGACCTACGTCTTGCTGACAATGAAACCATGGTCAGTTTTTATGTTCAGTCTCTATTTACATGCCTACCTGTTGAAGACTGCATCTCAATTATAACTAGGAAACTAGATGAAAATAACATGCCACCAGAATATGCAGTACTACTAAGACATTGCCTTACATCTGGCTATCTATTGTGCAAGGAAGAGTTTTACAAGCAAGTAGATGGTGTTGCGATGGGCTCACCTGTATCTCCCATTGTCGCTGATATATTCATGGAAGACTTTGAGGAGAAACCCCTTCTTACTGCACCTGTTACCCCAAGGTTCTACAAGCGGTACGTAGACGATACTTTCACAATTTTACCATCAGACAAAGTAACTGCATTTTTAGAACATCTTAATTCCATAAACCCTAAAATTCAATTTACTATGGAGTTAGAGGCAAATAATTCCTTAGCTTTCCTAGATGATTTCCTTTCCATCCGAAATCCTAACAACACCATAGGTCATACTGTGTATAGAAAAAAGACCCATACAAACCGATACTTAAATGGTGAATCTCACCATCATCCTTCACAGTTAGCTACCGTGGGCAAATCTTTGTTTCAGAGAGCACGAGGGATCTGTGACAGCAAACACCTGGCCGCCGAGCTTCAGCACGTCAAGCAGGTTCTGCACGACAACAAGCTTCGGGTCCCGCGCCTCCGTCACAGTGACCGAGTGAAGCCGGCCACTGTCGAGCGTGTGCCTGCTGTACTACCATATGTAAGAGGTGTCACAGACAAGATTGGCTAGATACATCTTGAAGCGAGCTTCTATTAGAACATTCTACAAGCCGCCGAAGAAGATTAGTCAGTTCTTACCATCCGTCAAGTGTCATATTTCTCTACAAGATGCAGGAGTGTACAAGCTTGATTGTGATTGTGGTCTCTCATATATAGGGCAAACAAAGAGATCAATTAGAACCCGCGTAAAAGAACACATAGCTGACGTGAAGCATCAACGTTCCGGGAAGTCTGCAGTTTGCGATCATATTCTAGATGGCCCCAACCATTACATCAGATTTGATAGACCACAAATCCTCGCGAAAGAACATCGATTCCTACCAAGGATGATACGTGAGGCTATTGAAATTAAAAAACATCCTAATTTCAATAGAGAATGAGGCTGGGTATACTACCACCTGCTTGGGATCCTATAATTAATAAAATTAAAACTAAACCCAAGCATACCACTGCAAGACTTCAAAAATACAGTTAGTTCATTCTGCGTAGATCGGACCAAAGACAATAATTAAAAAGCTGAAGGTACTCCGGGTTAACTTTGATATCGGGACGTCAGTCACCTCAGTCCCCCGTGACCATGGGTGCTGGAAAGCACCCGAAACGTCGGGTATTAAAAATAAAATAAATAAAACGCGAAAAAATCCGTAAAAGTAGTTTTTTAATCAATAGTAGTTTTTGAGTTATCCTTAATAATGCAAATTTAATTGACTTCAACTAAATTAAAGAGTTCCCATTTTGTTTATATTGAAGTCGGTTGTACAAAATTTTTAATTTCTCCACTTGTTAAATCTGGTAGTAAAATAGATCCTACTAATTTTAGACCTTATAATCCATACTATATAAACAGCAGTCAGTTCGTTTACGTAAGTCGTTTTGCATTATTAAACAAGTTAAAGAATTATAGTTGTATCTTAAAAATTCGTGAACGTTATAAAATTATAGTTATCTGACCGGTGGCAAGAGGTTGTTACTAACAGAACTGAGCCTTCCTTTAGTCCCTCTCTTGAAATGCAGCATTGATATTGCGAGCTGTCTGCTGCGTTAGAACCCCATCTGTACTCATAATCAGAAATCACTAACTTTAATTATCCATGTTTTATTCAAATGCTGAATGTAAACCACGTAACAAGTAAAATACGCTTTAAGGAGTCCTATTTTTTTTACGTGCATCGTACTGGTGGTCACTTATTATCGTTAAAAGTAGCCTCGCGCCGAGTCATCTGGAGACAAGACTAATAGAAAGTAATAAACAATAGTTAAATGTGGAAAGAGCTTTCACTAAAAACGTTGTCAAGCTGTTTGTGAGGTCACAAATCAAGACTACATTTAATAATGGAATTATATTTATACAAAATACGAACACAGTTATTTATTATGATTAGATCTAGTTGAAATTTTCATGGGAACCCTCAAAAAATATACGAAGCCAGTGGGTATAAAGTCATCTAAATTAGTTTATCCATTTACATCCCATATCATCCCGTAGTATCGCAAGACCAACCCAACGTGACCTGGGCTCAGCCGTGGATTTTTATTTCGATAAATGAAAAAAAAACAAAGAATTTGAAATAATCCTTATTGAGCTGTCTTTTTCGTAGTGGAATAGATGTTATGGACCAAGTGATTCAGGGTACTATTTATAATGCCTAGTTAAAATGATGGAAGGCAAGTCAAATTGGGCTACATAATTAATACTGATTTAAACTTCATTATTTAACACATTTTCTGGTCATATCCTAACCAAACTTATCTTCTTCTTATTTTGGTCATTGTTTAAAGGACTATTTATAAAGCCAATTCTACTGCATTATTTTAGAGTTTTTATCATATTGTATTATATTATACAATATGATAAAAACTCTTAAAATAATGAAGAAGAATGAATAAAATACAATATGAGTAGGTATTGTGCAATTTTCAAACTGTCTGGACATTATAAATAATGCCCTGTTGGATCACTTTGTCCATAAAATGACGTTGTAGGTAAGTACAAATAGTATTGCTTGTTGTGTGCAGGGTGCGGCTGCTGGTGCACGCTCGCTCGGGCGCTTGCGTCGCGCTGAAGGCGCTGCGGCGTGGCGGTGAGGGGGCGGGGGAGGGTGAGGGCGGCGGCGCCCGCGAGGCGGCGCTGCACCGCGCGCTACGCCACCCGCACGTGCTGCGCTGCCTGGGCGAGCGCGTGCACGCCGACCGCCACTACCTGTTCCTGGAGTACGCGCAGGGCGGCGAGCTCTTCGACCGCATCGGTCTCTGCCTCTGCCTCTCCTCACCTAGCATGTAGCTGTTGTGTGCAAGCGCTGACTCCGCTGCGACCGTCCTCAGCGCAGAGCCGGACGTGGGCACGGGCGAGGCGGCGGCGCGGCGCTACTGGCGACAGCTGCTCGCCGGCCTGCGCTACCTGCACTCGCGCGGCGTCGCGCACCGCGACATCAAGCCCGAGAACCTGCTGCTCGACACGCGAGACCGCATCAAGATATCAGACTTCGGCATGGCCACACTTTTTAGGTGAGGTAAGTTCTTTCCTTAAATGCTGGCCGATAAGGCATTGTGTTGGGGCCCATAGACATACATTTTCTTCAACTATCTAGCCCAGCAGACTTTGTTATGCCTTTTCTGCTGCCAATACCATTTAGCTCAATCAAGATTTGCAAAAATTGTTACCTTTTTACACAAACTCGTGTTTTTTATCGCTATTTTTGTATCGAATTTATCTACTTCTGATGCGAATTATTTCTGATTCCATAAAAATTTAAGGAAAAGAGTACAAATAAGGAAAAAAAACGCTAAGGCTAAATGTAAATGTTACCTTTTGATCCTAACATCTAATGTTTTCATGAACAGGTGGTATGAATTAACAGTAAGTATTGTTATAAGGTATATTGAATAAAATGATTCTATTATATTCTGTTCTACGCGGCATTTTTAATTTCTAAATGAGGATACATGTATATTAGGCGGCAATATCCACTTAGCGTGTTGTGAGCTGTGTGCTTGTTGGTTAGTTAGCCTTATTGTAACAGGGCTGGGCGCCGTGAGCGACTGCTGAACCGTGTGTGCGGCACGCTGCCGTACGCGGCGCCCGAGGTGCTGACGGCCGCCGAGCGACCGTACCGCGCGCCGCCCGCCGACGTGTGGTCCGCCGCCGTCGTGCTGTTCGCCATGCTGGCCGGCGGTAACTATACCAGTACTGCTCCTGCACATGGTATCGCTCGCTGCACCACACAACACTACACACTCAAATTGTCTATCATTTATAAAAGTTACGCAAAAAGATTGCTTAATGTTGTTATATAAATGAATGCTGTTAAATAAAACTAGTTTTTACGGACCTATAACCTACTTTATATTCCCGACGTTTCGAGCACTTTACAACACCCATGATCACGGGAGACTGAGGTGTTTGACGTCCCGATGTCATAGTTAACCACGGCTACCTTCAGATTTAAATTATAAATTTAGCTGATATATAACTTTAATGAATTGAATTAAAAGAATGTTATCGATACTCCTCACAAATATGAGTCACACAGGATAGTGTCAGGTGTCATACAATAAATGATACCACAGAAATATTTTTTAACATTATATACAAAAGCAATTGAATACAATCAGTAATCTAATAACGTTTGACGACTCCTTGGCGCAGTGGCTTAGCAATGAGTGGCTGCGCTGGGGGTCGCGGGTTCGAATCCCGCACGGCACAAGTATTTGTATGGCCTACAAATAATTGTTCCGGGTCTGGATGTTTGTCCTTGTGCAATTTATGTTTGTAAACTGCCTCCACGATACTGGAAATCCGAGTATAGGGGTAACGTTTTATAAAAAAATAATTAAAAAAAAACAGGAATTTTGTTAAATATTATTATTTTTACACATAATAATGTCTTATAATGTTAATCCTCCCATAGAATAAAACTAATGTTACAATGTTTATCGTATTTAATTTTAACTTTTTTATTCCCTTACATTATATACTATTACCTTGTACTTACATTATTACCTTGAATGCTGTAAAGTGACCAAAACGTAAAGAAATTAAATAAAAATAAGTTAAGCGCGATAAAATCCAGATTAGTTTTATAACCTTTTTCACACATGATAAGGTTAGCAAATAGTGCCTTTAATGTTTTACATTATACATAGTGGTGCAATTTATATTACGTGTCCCTGAAATCTTCATCGAGCCTAAAACGGGCAGTAGCCTAAGTTATAACAGTTGTTAGAAAATTCTAAAAAAAATATAAAATAGACTAAACGCGCCGTTTTTTATAGTTTCTAGCCAAAATAGTGTAATACATTTTTTACAGTACAGTCAGTTAAAGTTGGATTATATAATTATTTTGAATCAAATGTTTTATTTAAAACTGAGGCAGTTATGTTTTGACTTTTAACTGTAATTTACGGAAGGGTTATTCATGGTTACACCACAGAAAAAAACTGACGAAAAGTTAATATTTGCAATCACAGGAATTGAAAGATCATCAAGGATCAGTTTTTGAATCCTTATAATCTGAAAAGTACATGACCAAGATCTTTTTTATATTTTTCTAATAACTGTCACAACTTGGCCTATTGCTAATTTCCGGTTTGACTTTGATTTCCGGCACACCTGTATAAAAATAGCTCTTCCCCGCGACTTCGTCCGCGTTTCATTTATTACGATTGGATTGTACGGGGTTTTAAATATTTGCGCGGAACCCTAATTATTTTTCTAAAATAAAAGTGTTCTGAGTTAGTCCTCACATCAGCGGTCTGCTGGCGACGGCTCCCCCGCCGCGCCGGAGATCAGCGCAGCGACGGCCGGTCACACAGAAATTTTAAAAACTGTACTTTTGTCATAAGTACAGTAGTGTTTATACTTTTATATGCATTTATTAAAAAACTTTTATTTTGACATTACAAATGCTTCAATTTTATTTATTTGTCTAGATAAACATATTAAATAATACATTTATCAGAAATTTAAACATTTAAATTTTCCCTAAGAACAATATAATTATTTTGAAATACGTTATCCACTTATCAAACTGTGCTCTATGTAGTCTTCAGAGTTAAATAGTTAAAACAATTTTAGCAAAAGTTGTAATTTATAAAATGCCAAATTACAAAATGCATCAAAGCAAGACATTGTCATAGAAAAAATAAAGTTTTTGTGGTTTTTTTTTTGCGTCACTTCAATTTTAAGTACTTAAACATCAATAACGCTTTAACAATTTCCCTGTCCGCAGAAAATAATGTTCATGTATAACTCATAAGACATTGAAAAGTTTAAAAATGAATGACGAAATCTTGTTTATGTTGTATCTGTATGAAAATGTGAATGTGTTTGTTGGCTGCATTGCACTGAGCCCTATCATCGCTATAGTTACATTACATTAACTAGTCAACTGCAAGCACCGACACCGCTGGAGCCGTCGCCGCCGCGGCCCGTCTCTTTGGTATCCTAGCTGTAGGCGTGCGCTTGCCCTAAAGTTACGGTACCGAAGTTACGGGCCGCGGCGCTCGCTTCGCACACTTTTGTTTGCTGTTGGTCGGTAAGCTTCCTGCGTCACTTTATCATTAGTTTCTTGCATGTCTGTTGCTGCCCTTTATTTTAACTTTGTCAAATACAACCATGTATACAAGCATGAACGACAAGTTTTTAACTTTCGTTAAAGGAATGTTAAAAATAAACACTCTTTTATTTAATATAGATTATAAATAGTACGTATCGAAAGTTATTCCTATGTTTAATTTACCGATGGTTCTAAAAATACCTTTGTTCCGGGATGAAGCAACAAGAAATTCAGTGGAACTATATTTTACGAAAAAAAGAACAGTTTCCAATTATTTAATATATTACAAAATAATAACAACACAAAACCTATTATAGAAAATACTATTCAGGTAATCAGTTCTATGAATTATTTAAAAAAAAAGGAGAATTTAGTGAAGCATCGTGAGAGTAATGAGATCACGGGGTTGATCATGATGAATGTTTTCATTTGGTTTTAAAAAAAGATAATTTAATTGATGAGCAACAATAGTTGTTTTTGAGCACTTTTATTAATAACTGTATAATATTTAGATTTTATATATGACATTGAACTTTATAAATATTGTAGTATTTTTTATGTAATTACTAATTACATAGATTTTATGTGATAATAGTTCACATAATGATTTTTCAAATTTATATGAATAATAATACACATGAAATAAAACTAATTTTATGGATTTTATCATGTTTAATTTTAACTTTTGAAGTAAAAACATGTTTAGAGACATTTTAAAGGATATGTTTTGTGGGAGAATGAGATAAAATACAGTAAGTTTTTGCTTTCTCTGTGTGTGAATTGTATACGTTTTTTTAAAGAAAAAAAAAACACTAGAATCGTTGTGATTTGAAATTAGATGAAACGAAAAGCGACAGACAGTAAAACGAGAGAAACATATACATCTACGAAGGCGGCACTGAAAATTTCGGGAATCAAGAAAGTGACACAACATTACTATTTAAAAATGTATTTATTGCTTTTCGAAGTATTCTCCGCGAAATTTGACACATTTTCCATACGATGGAACCAATCATTGAAGCAACCATTCCATTCGGAAGTTGGGGTCTCCAAAGTGGCCGTTTTGTAGGCGTCCACAGCTTCTTCAGGTGTTGTAAATCTCTGTCCACGCAATTTATTCTTTATTTTAGGGAAAGTATAGAAATTATTAGGGCTTAGGTCGGGGCTGTACGGCGGATGGTCTAATAATTCTATGTTTTCTTGCTCTAAAAACTCTTTTTGTTCTGTGTGCGGTGTGAGAACTCGCATTGTCGTGATGGAGGATGATGCGGCGGTTACAGTTCTCTTTACGGAGTTCAGAAACGACCTGTGGCAAACAAATGCTAGCATACCATTCTACATTAACCGTTCTTTGTCCCTCAAGAGGAATAGTCGTAACATGGCCGGTTTTGGAGACAAACGTGGCCACAATTTTTTTGCAACACTCCGTGAACGAACAATTTTTGTTGGCTTTAACTCATTTTCGAACACTCAAAGTCGTGACTGGTTTTTTGTTTCGGGTTCGTACGCGTATATCCAGGATTCGTCACCTGATACGATGTTGTATACAGCATTTGAAGATCCTGCGTGGAATCTTTCGAGAGTTCTGACGCACCAAGTAACGCGAGCCGCTTTTTGCTCTTCACAGAGCGAATGCGGTATCCACCGGGAAAACAACTTTTTTACACCTTTGTTCATGCAAGATTATTTGTATTTGATTCATGTCAATGTCTAAAGTTGCCTGAATTTCGCGGTATGTCACATGTCGATCTTCCTCAAACAGCTTACGCACAACATCAACGTTTTCTTGGGTGACCGCAGTTTTTGGACGACCTTGACGGGGATCATCGCTGAGCTTGACACGTCCACGTTGAAATTCAACAAACCAGCGATAAATTGTGGTTTTGGATGGGGCTTCATCACCAAATGCAGAAATCATCCGGTCAACACACTTTTTGTGTTAAACCACTGACGAAAGTCATAATAAATCATCGCTCTTGAATTTTCTCGAGTCAATTCCATTTTCTCAACGATTAAACAAGTTTGACAAAACCTTGTGACAAGACCGAGAATCTTTTTTTAAATAAATAAATGGTATTGGAATTTTAAAACCAAGGAGTTTTCAATTAAAAAGATTTTAATATGACAGGAACAGTGGAAATATTCCATTCCCCATATTTTAGTGCAGCCCTCGTATATGATGTTGGCTGTATTCTGCATTTGCCTTATTTTTTGAAGTTTAGTGTTCTGAAAGTACTTCTACTGCTTGTGTGGATTGCGTTCATGTTTTTTTTAAATCTCTACGTTTTGCATGTTTAACTATTGTTGAGTATGACATCAATTCTGTCATACTTTGAGAACTTTGTCCTCCCGTGATTATGGGTGTTGTAGTGTTCGAAATGTCGAGGATTGAAAAAGTTAAAATTAAAGGCGATAAAATCCGTAAAATGTATGTAATTTGATATCAACATGTTATATGTTATTGAAGTATTTTTCATGTAATTGGCCAGTTGATATAATATTTTTTCATTTAATGACGGGAGGGGTGCGTTAATGGTGTGTGGTTGCAGAACTGCCGTGGGAGCGCGCCAGCGACAGCGATCCCCGTTACGCGGCGTGGAAGAAGTATAGCAGTACGTGCAGCGAGGATGGTGCCGGCGCCGTGCAGCAGCTGGGTGCGGCGTGGGGCAAGCTGGCGGGCGGCGCGCGCGCGCTGTTGGCGGCCGCGCTGGGCCCGGCGCCGGAGCGCGCCGGCGTGGCGACGCTGCTGCACGCCGCCTGGAGCTGCGCGCCGCCGCACCCGCACCCGCGTGCGCCAGGTCAGTACTGCGTGCGCGCGCGCTGCTGCCGGGCGCCGCAGCGCGCCGGACTACATACTCGCACACTACCTAAAAAAGAGACGATCGTAGCTATATTGTTGTAATAGCATAAATAAGGCTACTTCACCGTGGTTTCACGCTCTCAAAGAATACCAGCTCAAAATAACAGTTTAATACTGCTACGTTTCGTATGGCGGAGTGTAGAGAACAAGCAACCTCACCGGCTACCCTACTATATTATATACAAAGCGTTCCATTTTAGTCCTCAGGGACAAAGCATTGCAACTACATTTTGATTCTTAATCAAGATGGATAGATGTCTATAAGCAACAACATCCACTTACCATCGGGTGGTTTGTGAACACGTTTGTCACCCTTATTCTCTAAATAAAAAGCTACTATACTCTATGCTGTGTTTCACGTGCATTGCAATGCCTTTGTTTTCTTAACAATTATATTCTATATAAATATGTACACAACTTTTTTTCTTCCTTCTCGTAATTAAGATAAGCGCATGGGACATACCTGAAATCTGCTGCCAGGTGCATAACCACACAAGAAACTGAAGAGATATGTCATGTAAAGGAAGCAAAGAGCGGTGACCGTGTCAGGTACTAGGTGACTCTGAGTGGCGTCGGTCTCAGAGCTGCCTCGTGCCTCAGCACGGCCGCGCCGCGCGCACTGCCGGCTGCGCCATGACGACGACACCACGCCGCGACGTAGAGTGTACGACTCGGTCCTTTGGCGATTTAGCTCCATGACGTGTGGAAATGCTCATAAAGCTAGATTACCAAAGCACTGCGTCGACGCAATCGACACAAATTGATAACTTTTATACTTCATTTATCATTATATTTTGTTTCTTATGCCAGTGTCTTATTCTAAGTTTTTTATCACATAATTAATATGAGGCCGAGGAAAAGTTTCTTCATATTTTACATACAAATTCAAGACTTTTTCATAGTTTTTGCGTTTAATTTATAATATATATGCCATTTGTTCCATAACTTGTTGCTATCTTGTAGATAGTTACATAATTCCATTGCTATAGAAATCTAAAAATTTTTGAACAAAAAAATGCCACAAGTAGTTTTGATGTTAACCTGACACTACCCAAAGAATTCTGAAGGGAGAGAAACGGGTGAAAATCTGAGGGTAACTATCTGGTGGATGCATTTAACACTTCCCAACCAAGGTCTCTCAATTGTTGCTGAGTGTTATCGTTACGAGATTTATTATTATCATTACGAGAAACCACTCATTTTCTGTTGATCAATTCCAGCCACTTTTTATCAATTCCTTAGAGATCATAAACGATGCTCTAACCCACACACAGCATCACCTTATTGCGTGTTGATCCGGGTTTTGCTACAGTCAGTGGAGCTTGACTACCCTTTGACCATGATTTTTTCACACGTTCTTGTCGTAGATGATCTACTTTGCATCACCAGTGATCAATCCTTTCAAAAATGGTTTGGTTTCATTACGTTTCGATAGAGAATCTCATTTGAGAGTGCACGATCCGTCAGGTTTCCTGCAGTGAGCTCACGTGGGACACAAATATCGAGCTTTTTATAGCTTGTGTTTTTCAAATGAATCAAAACTGTATTGTGGTCAATCCTCAACGCCTCGGCTATGTCGTAACTACTTAGATGCCGATCTTGCTACATTTTTAAAAATGGCATCGACTACCCATAATAAGAGGGCGACCAGAGCGAGCTTCATCGTTGACATCAAAATTCCCGGATTGAAAACGCTTAAACCAACTTTGTGCTACATTTACTGACACTGCATTATTAGGTCCGTAAAAGTAACAATCTTTTTTCGCCACTTAGTCGCATTTTCTCTTTTATGTAATAAAACTTCAGAATGTATCGAATTTCTTCGTTAGATTCACTCATTTTGGCTGACAGAAAAACAATTCAAAAATGGCGCAAAAGTGTTTTTTTACTATTTCTTTTTCTTGATGTCCTATATGTATTGATATTTGATATTAAAGCCAGCCAGATACAAACAGTACAACCAAAGAAATGTTTCATCAATTTTATACAAATAAATACGAAGAAACTTTCGCCGACCTTATTATATTACTATAACATCCATTTATTCTATCCACTACAACCTATAAAATTCCACATCTGAACACAGGCTTCCCCCATAGAGAACGTCTTATAGGAGGCGTGCATTTGCCAGTTAGCATGAAAACGGCATTTTAATTTCCTCCTGCCGTGTGTCTGCCGCCTGTAGTGAGAGAGCCTCACAACACCCATGGGATGGTGGCAAATAATGGATTCTCTGCCACTATATCGCAAGCTCAAAATATAGATATTGTGATAAAATATTAACTTTGACTATTCTATTGTATATTACTCGCTTGCGCTTTGTGTATTTACCAGATCTTAGAATTATAGACCCTAATTGTATACTTTTAAACTTTTACCTTCTGTATATCTGTTTCATAATACATATTGTATTTTTTCTATAAGTAATAGTTCTAAGAAAATAAATGTCTAACCGTAACCGTAATTTTGAGGTCTGTTAAGCTGGAATGGTCATTTGGGCAAAATCACTTCAATTTTTGCTAAATATTTAGTGCTCATTTAGTGCTAATTTAGTGCTGCAAATTTAAATTTCACGCCAAAATAGCTTGATCAAAAATTAGAAAACTGCTAGCTTTTAATTAAGCTAGCAGTGTTCTACCTATTACATCGATAAGCACTTAATACAGCAACAAATAGAAGCATCAATAATTTAGTGCTCATTTAGTGCTGCCTATATACACAAAAACAAATATTGGGAAAATATATATTTTTTTAATATCATAAATTCTGCTACTTTGACATCTTAGTAGAGTATGTGATGATACCTTGACATCCAAGTGGATTCTCACCTAATGATATAAGATAATGATTTAGTGCTTATTTAGTGCTGTCGATGTACGCAAAAACAAATTTTGGGGAACATATTTTTTTTTATTTTCATAAACTCTGCTACTTTGACATCTTTAGCAGATCATGTAATGAAAAAATTGACATCAGAGTGGGCTATCACCTAATTATATAAGATAATAAATTAGTGCTCATTTAGTGCTGTCGGTATACGAAAAAGGATTTGGGAAATTATTATTTTTAAATACCGTAAACTGCTACCTTGACATCTTGCGTATGTGAAGATACATTGACATCCAAGTGGATTCTCACCTAATGATATGAGATAATCAATTAGTGCTCATTTAGTGCTGTCGATATACGAAAAAGAATTTGCGAAATTATTTTTAAATACCGTAAACTGCTACTTTGACATATTTAGAAGTGTATGTGATGATATATTGAAATCCATGTGAGTTATCACTTAATGATATAAGATAATAAATTAGTGCTCATTTAGTGCTGCCGATATACGCAAAAACAAATATTGGGAAAATATATATTATTTTAATATCAAATTCTGCGACTTTGACATCTTTAGCAGGGTATGTGATGATATATTGACATCCAAGTGAATTATCACCTAATGATATAAGATAATCAATCAAAGTAATAGATAATCAAATCTCTATATATAATCTCTCTACTATATAAATAATCAAAGTAGCAGAATTTATGATATAAAAGAAATATATACTTTGAATAAAACTATTATTTACGGATTTTATCGCGTTTAATTACTTTAATTTATTTTTATTATTATCCCGACGTTTCGGGTGCTTTACAGCGCCCATGGTCACGGGGGGGACTGAGATGTTTGACGTCCCAATGTCATAGTTAGTCCGGCTACCTTCAGTTTTTTAATATTAATTTTTGGTCCGATTTACGCAAAATGAGCTTATAGTATCATGAAGTCTTGCAGTGGTATGCTTGGATTTGGGTTTAATTTTGTTAATTATAGGATCCCAAGCAGATGGTAGCACCCAACCATCTTCTCTATTGAAATTTGGATGTTTTTTAATTTCAATAGCCTCGCGTATCATCCTTGGTAGGAATCGGTGTTCTTTTGCGAGAATTTGTGGTTTATCAAATCTAATGTAATGGTGGGGACGATCTTGAACATGTTCGCAGACTGCAGACTTCCCGGAGCGTCGGTGCTTCACATCAGCTATATGTTCCTTCACGCGGGTTTTTATAGATCTCTTTGTTTGACCTATGTAAGAGAGACCACATTCACAATCTAGCTTGTACACACCTGCATCTTGTAGAGGAATATTACATTTGATGGATGGTAAAAATTGACTAATCTTCTTCAGCGGCTTATAGTATGTCTTAATGGACGCTCGCTTCAAGATGTAGCCTGATAGATGGTGATCACCATCATCCTTCACAGTTAGCTACCGTGGGTAAATCTTTGTTTCAGAGAGCACGAGGGATCTGTGACAGAAAACATCTGGCCGCGGAGCTTCAGCACGTCAAGCAAGTATTGCAAGACAACAAGCTTCGGGTCCCGCGCCTACGTCACAGTGAACGAGTGAAGCCGGCCACAGTCGAGCGCGCGCCTGCTCTACTACCATATGTTAGAGGAGTCACGGACAAGATTGGCTACATCTTGAAGCGAGCGTCCATTAAGACATACTGTAAGCCGCTGAAGAAGATTAGTCAATTTTTACCATCCATCAAATGTAATATTCCTCTACAAGATGCAGGTGTGTACAAGCTAGATTGTGAATGTGGTCTCTCTTACATAGGTCAAACAAAGAGATCTATAAAAACCCGCGTGAAGGAACATATAGCTGATGTGAAGCACCGACGCTCCGGGAAGTCTGCAGTCTGCGAACATGTTCAAGATCGTCCCCACCATTACATTAGATTTGATAAACCACAAATTCTCGCAAAAGAACACCGATTCCTACCAAGGATGATACGCGAGGCTATTGAAATTAAAAAAACATCCAAATTTCAATAGAGAAGATGGTTGGGTGCTACCATCTGCTTGGGATCCTATAATTAACAAAATTAAACCCAAACCCAAGCATACCACTGCAAGACTTCATGATACTATAAGCTCAT